TTTAATCCTCTCAATTTCTCTAGTATTATTGCTTTTCTGATGTTCATTTCCTTAAGTTCCTCACTTACATTAGCCTTCAGGATTCCCTCTATTTTCGGTAAGTTTTCAGTATCCTCTAACGTGAAGACAGAAGCAAAATATTTGTTTAATAATTCTGCCATTTCTTTATTTCCCGTTATAATTTCTCCTGTCTCTGCCTGCAATGGACCCCCATTCACTTCCGCTTTATGTACTTGTAGAAACTCTTATAATCTGTCTTTATGTTCCTTGCTCATATTCATATTCCATTTTCTCCCTCTTAATCAGTTTCTTGGCTTTCCTTTGCTGTTCTCTAAAGCTCTCCCAATCATAACATAACATAACATGTAGGAGCAGGAGTAGGCCATTCGGCCCTTCGAGCCTGCCCCGCCATTCAATCATGGCTGATCTTCTAATCTAACTCCAGCTGATAACCTGTCGCTGCCTTATCCCCATTTCCCTTAAACCCTTTTGCAACAAGAAATCTCTCTATCTCAGTCTTGAATATATTCAAGGACTGAGCGTCAACAGTCCTTTGCGGTAGCGAGTTCCATACATTCACCCTTTGAGTGAAGAAGTTCTTCCTCTATTCAGTGCGAAAGGGTTGGCCTCTGATTTTAAGGTTGTGACCCCTAGTTTTAGTTTCTCCAACCGGGGAAACAATCTCCCACTATCTACTCTATCATTGCCCTTTGATGATCTATATTTAATTCTTCTATATTTTAGAGAATAGAGGCCAAAATTGGTCAGCCTATCCTTGTAACTCATCCCCTTCATCCCTGGTACGAACCTAATAAATCTACGCTGTACCCCCTCCACGGCAAGTACATCCTTCCTTAAATAAGGAGACCAAAGCTGCACACAGTATTCCAGGTGTGGTCTCACAGGGCCCTATACAGTTGCAGCAAGACTTCCCTACTCTTCAACTCTAATCCTTTCATAATGAATGCTAACATACCATTCGCCTTCCTAATTGCTGCTGCACCTGCAGACTAACTTTCTGTGATTGGTGTACAAGGACACCCAAGTCCCTCTTATTTTATTTTATTTTTTCCCTAACCTCTCTAGTTAGTCAAGGTTGGGACACATTCCAATCTCTCCCCTTCTAAAAAATAACCCGCTCTACTGTTTTTGCTCCCGAGGTGGATGACTTCGCACTTCCCTACATTATACTTCATCTGCCACCTACCTGCCCAATCAGACAGGAGAGGGGCCAGAAGGTGGAGCTGGGAGATGAGGAGAGAGGTGGGGATGGGATCGAGGGAGCAGGTGGTGGGTTTGGGTTTGCGGACAGTCGTGGTGAGAGAGGAGAGAGAGAAAGGGTCGATAGGCTGACACACAGCGACTGAGCCAGACTGACACACAGTGACTGAGCCAGGCTGACACACAGTGACTGAGCCAGGGTGACACACAGTGACTGAGCCAGGCTGACACACTGTGACTGAGCCAGGCTGACACACTGTGACTGAGCCAGGCTGACACACAGTGACTGAGCCAGGCTGACACACAGCGACTGAGCCAGGCTGACACTCAGCGACTGAGCCAGGCTGACACTCAGCGACTGAGCCAGGCTGACACACAGTGACTGAGCCAGGCTGACACACAGTGACTGAGCCAGGCTGACCCACAGTGACTGAGCCAGGCTGACACACTGTGACTGAGCCAGGCTGACACACAGTGACTGAGCCAGGCTGACACTCAGCGACTGAGCCAGACTGACACACAGTGACTGAGCCAGGCTGACACACAGTGACTGAGCTAGGCTGACACACAGTGACTGAGCCAGGCTAACACACAGTGACTGAGCCAGGCTGACACACAGCGACTGAGCCAGGCTGACACACAGCGACTGAGCCAGGCTAACACACAGTGACTGAGCCAGGCTGACACACAGTGACTGAGCCAGGCTGACACTCAGCGACTGAGCCAGGCTGACACACAGTAATTGCTGTTTCCAGCTCTCATCTGTATGCGCCCTCTTGGCGATGTCATCCGCAGACACGGGGTAAAGTGTTGTGGATTGAGTCACCAAATTATTATTTTATTTTTTGAAGGGATTATTACCCCCGGAAAAACATTCCAACAATCGACTCACAACTGCATTCCTACTTACTGTTAGGTAAACCGAGGTGTGTGGAGTAAGAAAACGTAAGCCTAACAACAACAACAACAAGATTCCATTTATAAAGCGCCTTTCACGTCAGGAGGACGTCCCAAGGCGCTGCACAGTTGGGTCATGACCCGAGCATTGGGGGGGAAATAGTCAGGGTGAGGGGAGGGAGCGAGGAGGGGGGAAATGGTCAGGGGAGGGGAGGGAGCGAGGAGGGGGGAAATGGTCAGGGTGTGAGGGGAGGGAAGGGAGGGAGCGAGGAGGGGGAAGAGAGTCGAGAGGGGAGTTGAAGGCTCGGTCAAAGAGAAAGGTTTTGAGACCGGCCTTGAAGGAGGAGAGGGAGGAAGCGGCGAAGGCACTGGGGAATAGAGTTCCAGAGCCTCGGGGCTGAGAGGCTGAAGGCCCGACCACCAATGGTAGGGCGATTGGGGCGGGGGATGTGGAGCAGACCGGAGCCGGAGGAATGGAGGGTACGGGCAGGTAGGTAGGGGGATAGTAGGTTGGAGAGGTAGGAGGGAGCAAGGCCGTGAATGGCCTTGTAGGTGAGGATGAGGATCTTGAAATCAATCCTCTGGGGATGGGGAGCCAGTGGAGGGGAGCGAGGGTGGGAGTGATGTGGTCCCGAAGCCTGGTGCGGGACAGTACACGAGCTGCAGAGTTCTGAATGACCTGCAGTGTGGAGGGAGGTGGCGGGAAGGCCGGCGAGGAGAGAGTTCCCATAGTCCAGCCTTGAGGTGACAAAGGCGTGAACCAGGGTTTCAGCAGCGTGAGGGGTGAGGTAATGGCGTAGTCTGGTGATGTTCCGGAGGTGATGGAAGGCGGTGCCAGTTGTGGTGCGGATGTGAGGGAGAAAGGACAGCTCAGGGTCGAACAAAACGCCGAGGTTCCTGACTGGCTTTGAGAGGTGGAGAGTGCAGCCTTGGATGCTGATGATGTCGGCGCCTGAGGTGCGGAGGCGCTGACGTGAGCCAATCAGGAGGGCCTCGGTTTTTCGCACGTTGAGCTGAAGAAAGTTGTCTCTCGTCCAGGACTCGATGTCGGACAGACAGCTGTCAGGACATCGGTGGTCGTGGAGTTGAGGGTAGAGGAGGAAAGGTAGAGTTGGGTGTCATCCGCATACATGTGGAAGTTAACTCCATGTCTGCGGATGATGTCACCACCGGGGGAGCATATAGAGGGTGAAGAGGAGGGGACCGAGGACAGAGCCCTGAGGGACACCACATGAGACAGTACGGGGGGTGGAGGAGAAGCCATTCGTCGAGACAAAGTGAAGACGGTGAGAAAGGTACGACCTAAACCACTCAAGGACAGGGCCTTGAAGGTTGAGGTGGGAGGACAAGCGCTGTCTTTCAGTTTTCACGCTGCCCAGGAATCAAACCAAGGTCCTCTCGCTTGCTCGGCAAGTGCTCGAACTCGGAGCTACAGGACTCCATAAGCACACAGTAACTCTCCTCGTCTGTGATTGAGTTGTTCCAGTGAATTGACAGGTAAATCACCATCTCTCTGTTGATTTGGTCTCTCTGTTTGGTTCTTTATTCCCTACAGTTATGGCACTGATTCTGGTCAATGACGGACTGAGCCCTGGACTTCAGCTGCTGCAGTGGCGTGTTCCTGCCGGGGGAGGGCAGTGTCCCAAACACATTATTATCAATCGACACATTATCATCCCTCTCCTCCTTCAAGGCCGGTCTCAAAACCTTTCTCTTTGACCGAGCCTTCAGCTCCGCTCTCGACTCTCTTCCCCCTTCTCGCTCCCTCCCATCCCTCCCCTCACCCTGACCATTTCCCCCTCCTCGCTCCCTCCCCTCCCCTCACCCTGACCATTTCCCCCCTGCTCGGGTCATGACCCAACTGTGCAGCGCCTTGGGACGTCCTCCTGACGTGAAAGGCGCTTTATAAATGGAATCTTGTTGTTGTTGTTGTAATAATCTTCCATTCCATACTGCACACAGACTGTGCAAATATCTCACAGAGAGTCACTGTCAAGTGTAGTGACTGGGCATTTTGCAGGAAAATGTGAAAGGCATTTTGTACCCAGCCATGTCCCTTCCCCACACACACTGAGTGGTCAGTTGGTATCCTGAGCGGGGGTCAGTCCTGTGTGCTGAGACGAGGTCAATAACGGCACGGGTTTCAGACACAGTGAAGCGCTCCCTACGTTTCCGTTTCTAAAGTTGGATAATACGTCTTTTAAACATCATTTCATACTTGGAATAGAAAGTCGCTGAGAATGATCAAGCAGCAGATACAGGCAACAGTCTGTCACTGATTCACTTTATTGTGTTCAGAGCTGAGAGCCAAGGAGCGTGAGAGCTGGAGCTGTCAGCTGCAAAGCTTGGGGACAACAACAACAACAACAATATACGATTGTATAGCGCCTTTCACATCTGGAGGACGTCCCAAGGCGCTGGACAGTCAGAGGTTTGGACAGGGATTGGGGACCCCAGAATTGGAACAACTACTGGTCCAACCAATTCAAACTTAAGAGCACTGCATGTCAAGCTTCCTGCTGTTTGTACATCCGGTACCACAATATCCATTTGAGCTTTGGCTCGCAGGGTTAACAGGAGCTGAGTGGGAGAATTCCCTGCCCCCAGTGTCTGGTCTGCCCTTCCAAGTCCTGCCAATGAGCCAATGTGCTGTCATCAACATTGCCCTGGAATACTGCAGACCTGCCCGGCTCAGGAATCAGACTCGAGACCATCCAGAGGGCTGGCTCAATTCAAACATTCTGTTGCCAAACATGTCACCTGATTGATTGCCATAGATGTGGAATCAATTGAGATGTTTACACCAACACAAGGAATGTATACAATGTCCTGCACATAGAATAATGCCTTGGAAATTGGCAGTGGAGGGCCAGACTCTGAGCAACGGGAAGGGGGAGAGCGCGGAAGAGGTGGTTACCATAGTCAATCAGGGCAGGTCTGGGGGACAGACAGAGAGGGTGACACACATGGGTTGATGGAAGGAGAACCAGAGGATAAGGGTATGGATTTGGAAAGCTCAGTCACCATTGATGGCCACTCCAGGTGGGTTGGGTGAGGAACGCACATTAACCAATTGGATGGACAACTTGAAATCAGTTGGGGTAGATGATCAGAGATAGGCAGGAAATGGGGCATTAGGGATTTACACATGAGGGTGAGGAGCTGGAAATTGATGCATTAGGATCCAGTGTAGATTGTTGGACGTGTTGATGAGGATGTGGGCAGTGACGTTTTGGATGTTGAAGTTTGTGGGTGGTGGAAAGAGGGAGAACAGTGAGGAGACAGAAAAATCCAACTGGTAGGTGCCGAAGGGAGGTTTTCAAGGAAGACAGAATGACTTGAGAAGTAAGGGGATGAGGTTGAGAAGTGTGGGGTAATAGGAGGGGAAATGGGGTTAAAAGGTCTGCTGTAATGTAATGAAATAGCGGAGCAGGATGGACAGCTGAATGGTCCTCTGTTCCTAGGCTGAGCTAACAGAGAGCTGGACCATTAATACTTTTATTCAGAACAAATGGCTTTCATTCGAGAACAGGTTTCTTTCAGGTTGGTGATGGATTTGGCAACAGCTGGGCCTGAGTCTGACAATCGCATTGAGGTGGGCAGCTTGTCCACACTGCTGACTATTTCCTCTATAATCACGATCAGAGGCTCCATGCAGTAGAGGTGCTGAGACTGAACCCTCAGCACTGTCACTCTTCCATGAACAGTGCAGAGATACTGAGCACATCGTTTAAGTACAGTTAAGACATCAGACAACTTTGTGTACAAATTTCTCTTCATTTCCAGGTCCTGTTGCTGTTGCGTCAGACGGCTTTTCACCCCGGCCAGCTCATTCCGCTTGACAGCCACCTGTTGGCGGCAGCACTCCAGCTGTCGCTCGCTCTCCTGCAGCTTGGACCTTTGAGAGTCACAGTTGCTGGTGGCCGACTGCACACTGGAGTTTGCGTTGTTCAGATCCTCTTGACCAACACCGACCATTGTGCTTCCTGAAAGGCAGGAGATAGAGATAGAATAATAATAATAATCCTTGTAATTAATGTAGCGCCTTATCATGTCTTTGAAATGTCTCAAAGCGCTTATACTGTAAAGTGAATTGACTGTATATTTTGTGGGCGAACGCGGCAGCCAATTGCGCACAGCAATGTCCCACAAACAGTCGTGGATTGAGTGACCAATTTATTATTGTTGATTTTGGAGGAATTATTGCTCCCGGAAAAGCAATCCACCAATTGACAAACAACAATTTACTTCAAGGTAAACAGAGGATTGTGGAGCAAGGAAACTTGCCCATCGCTTCACCCTGCGGGAATCAACCCAAGTTTCTCATTTGTGAGACGAGTGCTCCAACCACTGAGCTACAGGACTCCACATATGCCCTTGACTCACATTTGTCAACAGAATGAATGGTGACGTAAAAAAGACTAAAGCAACAGGTGGATGGGAATAGAAAGCAGTTTGGGCCTATAAGAGGGAGAGGATGATTATGAACAACTAGAGTCACATCTGGAAACCCGAGGCCGAGGGACCGGGGTGACTGGAGGCCTCAAACTCCTCACTGTACCTCAGGAATGGCTTCTAAAGGTAACCGAGCAAATCCAGATTAATCTGATCTGCTAGTTACTGGTCAGGTTGAAGACTCAGTGCTATGACCTATTGTTCTGGTCAGCCAGGCATCCGACACACGTGGAAATCTGTTATAATACTTAAGAGAATCAAAACTAGACAGTGTTCCTTCCACATGTCTACACATTCATCACCCCTCCTGTTCCCGTTACCTGTACCCATCTATTCTTTTTCCCTCATTCATGGATCAAGTTTCCTCTTAAATTCACTGATGTACGTGACGACAGAGACACACAGGTCACCTACCTATTATCAGACCAATGATTGGGATAAACATCAATCCGATTCCCACATTTCGAATAGTTTCAGCTTCTTGCTGTTTTTGCTGTTCTCTTCTCAGAATCGCTTCCGCTTGCGCTAGATATATCTCGGCTGTCTGCAGGTGTTGCCGTTCCAGGTCCCGCTGGTGCTCTGCGCTCTCCAGCTCTTTCTTTGTAGACCTGACGGTTTCCTGCAGACGTTCTTTCTCTGCTTTCATTCGGGAGATCTCAAGTGTCGACTCCTCAAAGTCCTGATTGAGGGATTTGACGATGGCCAGGACTTCACTCTCAGCCACTTCCATCTCCTTGTAGGCCGCGCCGATCACTTTCATGATCTCAGAGCATTCGGAGTCGCTGAGGATGGCTGTGCCCATCCTGAGAGCCAGGGTGACAAAGGCCTCCATGCTCTTTATCCCCTCAATAAAATGTGGCATAACCTCATCTCTGAACTTTCCCTCAATCTTGCTGAGTGTGGTGCTCATGGTTACCTGCGGAGGCCAAATAATAGTTAGAATGAGAATAATAATCCTTGCATTTGACATAGTGCTTCATCACGTCATTGAAATGTCTCAAAGCGCTTCACAGAATATCAGTGACTAAGCCAGACCGACACACACACAGCAATTGGGCCAGGGTGACATACACACAGTGACTGAGCCAGGGTGACGCACAGTGACTGAGCCAGGCTAACACAGTGACTGTGCCAGGCTGAGGCACAGGAACTGAGCTAGGCTAACACAGTGACTGAGCCAGGCTAACACAGTGACTGAGTCAGGCTGAGGCACAGTGACTGAGCCAGGCTAACACAGTGACTGAGCCAGGCTAACACAGTGACTGAGCCAGGCTGAGGCACAGTGACTGAGCCAGGCTAACACAGTGAATGAGCCAGGCTGACACATAGTGACTGAGCAAGGCTGAGACACAGGGACTGAGCCAGGCTAACACAGTGACTGAGCCAGGCTGAGGCACAGTGACTGAGCCAGGCTAACACAGTGAATGAGCCAGGCTGACACATAGTGACTGAGCAAGGCTGAGACACAGGGACTGAGCCAGGGTGAACACAGGGACTGATCCAGGCTGACACACAGTGACTGAGCCAGGGTGAACATAGTGATTGAGACAGGCTAACACACACGCAGCAATTGGGCCAGGGTGACATACACACAGTGACTGAGCCAGGCTGAGGCACAGTGACTGAGCCAGTCTAACACACAGTGACTCAGCCAGGCTAACGCACAGTGACTGAGCCAGGGTGACCACAGCGACTGAGCCAGGCTAACACGCAGTGACTGAGCCAGGCTAACACAGTGACTGAGCCAGGCTAACACACAGTGACTAAGCCAGGCTGACACATAGTGACTGAGCCAGGCTGACAAACAATGACTGAGCCAGGCTGACACACAGCGACTGAGCCAGTCTGACACACAGTTACCGAGCCAGGTGAACACACAGTGACTGAGCCAGGCTAACACACAGTGACTGAGCTAGGGTGACACACACACAGTGACTAAGCCAGGGTGATAACAGTGACTGAGCCAGGCTGACAAACAGTGACTGAGCCAGGGTGACCACAGTGACTGAGCCAGGATGACACACAGTGACTGAGCCAGGATGACCTCAGTGACTGAGCCAGGATGACACACAGTGACTTAGCCAGGCTGATACACAGTGACTGAGCCAGGCTAACACACAGTGACTGAGCCAGGCTGACACACAGTGACTGAGCCAGGCTAACACACAGTGACTGAGCCAGGCTAACACACAGTGACTGAGCCAGGGTGACCACAGTGGCTGAGCCAGGCTAACACACAGTGACTGAGCCAGGCTGACACACAGTGACTGAGCCAGACTGACACTCAGCGACTGAGCCAGGCTGACACACAGTGAATGAGCCAGGCTGACACACAGTGACTGAGCCAGGCTGACACACAGCGACTGAGCCAGACTGACACACAGTGACTGAGCCAGACTGACACACAGCGACTGAGCCAGGCTGACACACAGTGACTGAGCCAGGCTGACACACAGCGACTGAGCCAGACTGACACACAGCGACTGAGCCAGACTGACACACAGCGACTGAGCCAGGCTGACATACAGCGACTGAGCCAGACTGACACACAGTGACTGCGCCAGACTGACACACAGTGACTGAGCCAGACTGACACACAGTGACTGAGCCAGGCTAACACACAGTGACTGAGCCAGACTGACACAGTGACTGAGCCAGACTGACACACAGTGACTGAGCCAGACTGACACACAATGACTGAGCCAGACTGACACAGCGACTGAGCCAGACTGACACACAGCGACTGAGCCAGACTGACACACAGTGACTGAGCCAGGCTGACACACAGTGACTGAGCCAGACTGACACACAGTGACTGAGCCAGACTGACACACAGTGACTGAGCCAGACTGACACACAGTGACTGAGCCAGACTGACACACAGTGACTGAGCCAGACTGACACACAATGACTGAGCCAGACTGACACACAGTAACACAAAAAGAGTAACACACCTTAGGACTGGGAGTGTCTTAGGGACCAACAAAGGAAAATCAAAAAGCTCATTAAGAGTGAGAAAATGGATTATGAGGGCAAACTGCTAGGAACAGTAGACAGATTGTAAGAGTTTTTATAAATACATTAAGAGGAATAGGAGAGCAAAAGTAAATGTGGGTCCATTACAGGCAGAGACAGGAGGAATTATAATGGGGGATAAGGATATGGCAGAGTCCCTAAATAAATACTTTGCTTCTGTCTTCACGTTAGAAGACACAAGAAGTTTACCAGAAATAGAGATGAACCAAAGGGCTAATGATAGGGGCAACTTAGGGAAATTTACATTAGCAAAGAATTGGTGTGAGGGAAATTGTTGGCATTAAAAGGTTTCAAGTCCCCTGGACCTGATGGTTTGCATCCGAGGATTTTAAAAGAGGTAACTCATGATATAGTGGAGGCCTTGGGTCTGATCTTCCAAAATTCTTTGGATTCTGGAACGGTTCCCATTGATTGGAGGATCGCAAACGTCACACCACAATTTAAGAAGAGTGTGAGAGAAAAGATGGGGAACTATAGACCAGTTAGTCTGACATCGGTGGTAGGGAAAATTCTAGAATCCTTAATTAAGGATGTCGTAGTGGGATAGTTAGAGGATCACAATATGATTAGACAGAGTCAACGTGGCTTTACAAAAGGGAAGTCGTGCTTAAAAAATCTTTCAGATTTTTTTGAGGACATATCCAGTAGATTAGATAGGGGGGGATCAGTGAATGTAGTGTGTTTAGATTTCCAAAAGGCATTCGATAAAGTGCCACATAAAAGGTTGATCCACAAAATTAGGGTCCATGGAATTAAGGGGAATATATTAGCATGGATTGAAGAATGGCTAACGGGAAGAAAACAAAGAGTAAGGATAAGCAGATCCTTCTCAGATTGGCGGAATGTGACTATTGGAGTGCCACAAGGATCAGTGCTCGGGCCTCAACTATATCAACGATACAGATGAGGACATCGAACTTAATATATCCAAACTAGGAGGGAGAGTAAACACCGAGGATGACATTTAAAAAGTGCAACAAGATAGAGGTAGGCAAGGTGAGTGGGCAAATAGGTGGCAGATGAAGTATAATGTAGGGAAGTGTGAAGTCATCCACCTAGGTAGCAAAAACAGTACAGCAGATTATTTTTTGGAAGGGGAGAGACTAGATAGTGTTAGCGTTCAGAGGGACTTGGGTGTCCTTGTACACCAGTCACAAAAAGTTAATTTGCAGGTACAGCAAGCAATCAGGAAGGCTAACGGTATGTAAGCGCCTTGGGACGTCCTCCCTACGTGAAAGGCGCTCTATAAAATGAAATCTTGTTGTTGTTGTTGGCAATTATTACAAAAGGGTTAGAATATAAGAGTAGGGAAGTCTTGCTGCAACTGTATAGGGCCCTGGTGAGACCGCACCTAGAGTATTGTGCACAGTTTTGATCTCCTTATTTAAGAAAGGATGTACTCGCCTTGGAGGGGGTACCATGTAGATTCACTGGGTTGGTACCAGGGATGAGGGGGATGAGTTATGAGGATGGGTTGAGCAATTTAGGCCTATATTCTCTGGAATATAGAAGAATGAGAGCTGATTTTATAGAAACCTATAAGATTATTAAGGGACACAACAGAATAGATAGTGGGAGATTTGTTCCCCTGTTTGGAGAAACTATAACTGGGGTCACAGTCTTAAAATTAGGGGTAAACCCTTTCGCACTGAGTTGAGGAAAAACTTCTTCACTCAGAGGGTAGTGAATTTATAGAATTCTCTACCCCAAAGGGCTGTAGATGCTCAGTCCTTGAACATATTCAAGACTGAGATTGATAGATTTCTTGTGGATGAAGGGATTAAGGGATATGGGGATAAGGCGGGAAGGTGGAGTTAGAATAGATCAGCCATGATCTTATTGAATGGCGGGGCAGGCTCGAGGGGCCGAATGGCCTACTGTTGCTCCTAATTCTTATGTTCTTATGTTCTTATGTCAAGTGCTTCTCACACCCATCTCTGAGTGCGGAGAGACAAAGCTGATTCAGTCAGTCACATTAACAACAGCTTCACCCTCTCCAGGGCAACTCAGTGTTTTCTGTAAACAGTAGGTGTCAATTAGCCATTCAGCAACTCACTGCTCTCACGGAAAGTGAGGCGGGAGGGAAGGTTTTTTGCTTACTGACACAGTTATTTCCGGATGTGTGTGTGTGTGTGTGTGGGGGGGGTGGATATGAGACACACTTCAATCATTGTTTTGCCCACAAAAATACAGTCGATTAATTTTATAATTAATTATATTATTAATTATATTATTCATTTATAATTATATTATATTATTATAGTATATTCTGTGAAGTGCTTTGAAACGTCTTGAAGACGTGACACAGCCCTGTGTCAAATGAGGGGGTTGTTACTCCCGGAAAGCCATCTGCTAATTGACTGACAACTGGGTTCCTACTCACTGCTGGTAAACAGTGTGGAGTAAGGAAATTGCCTAAGGTTTCGCCCTGGCAGGAATTGAACCCAGGTCTCTCGCTTGTGAGGCGAGGGCTCCAGCCACCGAGCTACAGGATCCACGTAATATATCTAATAAAAGGCTCCATGAGGGAAAGGATTAGAAGCTGCTCTGTAATCTGATACCCTTTTCAACTGCTTTTGGCCCCAGTGCCATCTCCCACAGTTCTGAGTGTGTAACCTGAGGTTGGGGTGAGGCTGGGACCGTGTGTGTGTGTGTGTGTGTGTGTGCGCGTGTGTGTGGGTGGGTGGGTGGGGGGGATGAGGTCGGAGTCTAAAAACCTCCTGTCTTGGCTAGTTGCAAGCACTTTGGGACAAGACTGCGAGCGGGAAGTTTACACTCATCCAGGCCTTGATGTCTGCCAGACAGTCTGATAGAACATCAGCAGACCTGGAGTTTGCACTGGAGGAGGCAAAGTAGATTTGCGTGTGATCTGCATACATGTGAAAGATTACGGATGCGGATGACATCACCCAGAGGGAGCATATAGACAAGGAAAAGAAGAGGGACAAGGATGGAGCCCTGGGGTGCACTCAGGTGACCGGGCAGGAGGAGAAACCATTGGCTGAGATGAAATGGAGGCAGTTGGTTAGGTAAGACCCAAACCATATGAGTGCAGTCCCACTAAGGTCGATGAGATTGGAGAGATGATGGAGGAGGATAGAGTGGTTGTCAATTGAGGCAGAGAGACCAAGGAGGAGGAGGAGGCAGAGGGAGCCCTGGTTATCAGGGGGAGTGGAACAGAGCCTGAGGAGAGAGACCAGTTGACTGTGTCTGCGAGCGGTGGGGAGAGAAGGGGGTTCTGAGACCAACGAGAAGCAAGCAGGAAGCATAAAAGGATTCTGGGAAAGAGATCGGGCAGAGTGTTGAAGAGAGTTGAAATGTACGGCTGAAATAAAGGAGCTGTTAAATCTGAACTGTGTTGTGGATTGACAAATAATAGTCATTGGTTTAATGTTTCATTAAAAGGATGGCACCACTAACAATGGAGCACACCACCAGCATCGCACTGAGGTATTAGCCTGGACTATGCCACAGAGCAAAGCTCCCTTTACCCTATCCATCCAGTACTCACAGGTACAGATCAGCCATGACCTAACAGAATGGCAGAATAGGCTCAAGGAGCTAAATGGCCTACTCCTATTCCTATGTTAGCAACAGCACTGGCTATAAACTGAGCAAAGCTCATACTACACTGCCCGTCCCGCACTGTGAGATCAGTGACTGAGATCTGCATTATTCTAGCACATGGATGAATTAATTAACGGGATGAATTAGATGGACCTTGGTCTTTTTTCATCAGCAATTACTATGTTCCTATGAAAGGAAGAAGTCCAGGACAGAGTAATGCACCAGTGGTGGCCAACCTTTATGGTCGGACAACAAAATATATTTTCTTAATTAAATATTTCTTGTGCTTTAAATCAAGAAATATTCAATTGAGATGAAACTAAAAACACACGACTGATAAACACAGACTTACCGAGGCTTGTGCAAATGTTCGGGGGCCGTTTCTTGACAGGTTGGCCAACACTGCTCTAACCTGACCTGCAATCCCAGGTCAGGGTTAGACACAGAGTAAAGTTCCGCTACACTGTGCGACCGGCATGCCGAGCTCTGGAGATGTACTTACGTGTGTGCTCTGAGCAGTTTGTTGTCACAGACAGTTGTTTGTGTGGATCTGGTAGAAGATCAGCAGCTGTGGAGTGTGAGGTGAGGAAGTTCTGGTTTGTGTGATGGGGTAAAGCCCAGTTTATATGGAGCTGCTCAGGGGGAGGCAACTGCAAGTCCTCCGGTGGATTGGCGGGAGATTGACGTCTGAGCAGATTGTTTGATTTCCAAAGAATTGCCGGACCCTCAAGGAAGTGTAATTCTCAAGAAAATAATTTTTATTGGAAACAGCTGGCATAAGGCCAACAATTCTTATCTCTTTCATGCTCTGGAGGTGGGGTGTGTGAGTAATGTGATAGAGTGGAGTCCTGCAGCTTAGTGGTTAGAGCGCTCGCTCCTCAAGGCAGACACCTGGGTTTGATTCCTGGCAGGGCGAATTGTTGAGCAAGTTTTCTTTCTCCATACACCTCTGTTTATATAGCAGTAAGCAGGAAACCAGTTGGTAGTCAATTGGCGGTTTGCTTTTTCGAGGGTAATAAGTTCTTTTAAAAAAAAATAAGTCATGGTTGAAGAGTTAGATAATAATAATAATAATAATAATAATCCTTGCATTTGATATCCTTTTCACGTCGGGAGGACGTCCCAAAGCGCTTCACAGAACATACTGTAAAGTGAATTGACTGTATATTTGTGGGTGAACGCGGCAGCCGATTGCGCACAGCAATGTCCCACAAACAGTCGTAGATTGAAAATGACCAATTTCTTATTGTTTTTGGTTTTGGAGGGATTATTATTAGGCTCTGTGTGGAGTAACGAAACTTGCCCAAGGTTTCGCCCTCTGCCTGGAATTGAACTCAGGTCTCTCACTTGCAAAGTGAGTGCTCTAACCACTGAGCTACGGGACTCCACATCTTGAGACAGGACTTCAAGGAGGCAAGAGAGGGGGGAGGTGGAGGGATTGCGGGATAAAGTTTGAGAGTGTGGGAGCAGAGATGCTGAATGCCCAACCACCAATGGTGGGGCAGGAAGTGCGGGGGACCTGAAGCAGGCCGGTGTCCGCCAAGTGGAGGCAGTGGACAGGCTGATATGGGGTTAGGAGGTGGGAGAGGTAAGGGGGAGCAAGACCGTGGAGGGCTTTGAGCATGAGAACGAGGGTTTTGTACTTGATTCTCTGAGGAATGGGGAGCCAGTGAAGCCGGGCAGCAAGATTGGGTTGATAGGTTTCCGGAGTCCAGGTGCAGGAGATGACACGGGCTGCAGTTTTGAATACCATGCAGCTTGTAGAGGGAAGAGTTGGCAAGTCCAGTGAGCTGGCAGTTGGCGTAGTCATGCTGGGAAGTAATGAATGCGTGGATCAGGATCTCAATCACCTGTGGTGAGAGGCAGTGGCAGAGGTGGGCAATGTTACAGAGGTGGGGAAAGGTGCAATGGCTTATGGCATATATGTGGGTTTTGAAGGATGGGTGCGTGTCGAAAAGAACACCAAGGTTTTGTATTGGCTTGGTGCGGTGAAGAGGTGAACATGTATGTGAAGACATGAATAGTGATAATGTCAGCGGTTTATTCTATTTAGAAGAATTTAAAATTAGGAACCCGTGAACAGAGGAACCATAGTCACCTGTATTTTATGGTTTCAAGCTTGTTCACTTATTAAGGCAGAAAGACCTATAATTTCACATTGGTTCAATAATCATAGTTACAGTAGGCAGGGATACAACAAACAATGTTGGCTGTGTTGCTCCTGTGTAGCGATGTCACTGTGATGACAAGCCCAATATTCAAAAACAGAAGGCAAACATCTTGCTTCTCAGTTCTCTGGACTGGAAACGTTGACAATAGAAGGCGTTGGATAAAAAAAATGTTGTGTTTCAGCTGTATTCCTGTCCTATTGTCGTCTGTTCTTCTCTTTTGCTTTTTCCGACATTGCTGGAACTTTGAACAGTTGAGGTGGAGTGGCTGAGTCACAAAGTGGAAGCAATGTCCTGGTTCTCACCGGCTTGAATCAAGCACACATGATGAGCGATTCTGACTGAACAAAGTGTAGCTTAGCTCTACCTCCTCTATCATTGTCCTTTTTTAACATCAGGATAATTCATCCAAATTTGTACAATACCACCCACTTGTTTACAGGCTGGGAGTGTCCTTGTGTACAATACACACGAGGGAAGGGGGTTCCTCCTTGTGTCTTGGCTAACAATTCTCCAAATAAAAATAAAAATTTGGTCAATAATTTTGTGGCTCTTTAATATTCGCAAATTGTTAGCCAATTAACCTGCAAAATACGCAGTAACTGCACATTACAGTATACACTCCTGACATGAAGGGTACAATTTAAAGGGGAATTTGAATATATTGTATGCACTGTCTAGAGCTTTGAGAAGTCGTCCTGAAATGTACGGTGTTGTACCGATGTAAGCATTATTGTTCATATAGACAACCCTGGAAGTGATGAAAGCAGGGGTGCAAGCAGAAGTTGACAAACAGAAGTGCCACAATTCTGTCAGGAATATTTGGAACAGATACACCAAACCGTCTGGATGCCATCCAATATGCTACTGTCATGAGAACGCATTGAGAACAACAACAATGACAACAAAATTACATTTGTAAAGTGCCTTTCACATCGGGAGGACGTCCCAAGGTGCTGAACTGTCAGGGATCAGGACCCAAGCGTGGGGGCAGCGTTGAGATGAGGGAGGGCAGAGGGGGTAGGAGGGCCGCAGGAAACCTGAGGCAGTGACAGCCCGGATTAAGGCAATTTAGAAAAATAGGTTGTGGCACAGAAATGAAGAGCTAAACAGCCTTTTCCGGGGAGGAAATATCTGCGTGAAATATGACATGAAAGGAGCAATGTAACTTTGAATTATGTTGTGTTCCAGCCCGACTCCATTGGCTCACTGTCAACGAATGGATCGATTTGAAGATCCTCATACCCATTTTCAAATCCTTTCATCCCCTGGCAATACCCCACCTCTCCGACCTGCTTACACCCCAAGCCACTGCCTCCACTCGACTGGGTCCGGCTTCCTGCAACTCGCTTGATTCCTCCGTTCCACCATCGGTGGCCATGATTTCAGCCCCAAAACCAGCCCCACAACTACCCCCACACAGCAAGTTGTTGTTGTGTGTTTGGCTGTTCAGGATCTTGAACTCAGGAATAACGAAACTGAATGCTCTGCTCATGGAGAAAGAGTCCCATTGTGTGAGGTGAGTAATAAAGTGTTATCAGATTTCTCTGAATTAGCTAAATCCGGGAGGTAACCAGGAGACTAAAATAACTGAAGTCACATTCCATATGGTTTCAAGGTCAATCGAGTTCATTTTGTCAACCTATCATTGTTGGACCCCCATCTGTCGTGACACAAACCAGTTATCCCCAGTTTTCCGCAATTGTCCAATGTTTTTCATTGAAAACATCCACTCTTTACACTGTTCCTGGATTTCAATGTCCTGGGATGAGTTGCTGTTTGCCACCTTTGCTCTTTCCTCCCCTACCAATCCCTCAATGAAACACTCCAATTGGGTTTACATGTTGCGTATAACACAGAAATAACATTGCATGGCTCAGCCACTGTCTTTCCCCTCAGGCTACTGAGACTGAGACACTCATCCACATATTCATCACATCCAGGGTCGATTATGCTAATTCTCTGCATGTCGGTCTTCCCGATTCTTCCCTCTACAAGTTACAGATTATTCAGAACTCTGCAGCTTGTGTCCTTTCCCGCATTAAGCTCCACAGCACTATCACCTCCACACTTGCCCGGCTCACCTGACTCCCCATTCCCCAGAGAATCGAGTGCAACTCTTCGTCCTCACCTTCTAAGCCCTCCACAAACTTTCTCTTCCCTACCTCTGTGACCTGCTAACTCCGTACTGACCTGTGGGCTTGTTCTGCTCAGTGGATTCTGGCCTGCTCCATGTCACCTGTCTGGCCTGCCCCACCATCGGCAGTCAGGCCTTCAGCCTCTCTTCCTCCTCCTACGCTTTGAATTCCATCCCACATTCCCTTTGCCTCGATCCCTCCATTGCCTTCTTCAAGGCACACCTCAAGATCCTCTCCTTTGACCATGGCTTCATGCCCCCCACACCCTCATATTCCAAACCCCTGCTCAGGTACATGTCCCTGACAGACCAGCACCTTGGGATATCCTTCCGATGCGAAAGGAGCCATACGGAAGTAATTTTGTATTGTATCATTTTGGTGAACCTGCATTGCATCCCCTCCAGGGCCAATATATCTTTCCTGAGGTGAGGTGCCCAAAACTGAACGCAGTCTCCAGATGGGGTCTGACCAAGGCTCTACACAGCTGAAGCATCATTTCCTCTCTTTCAGATGCTTTATACAACAGCAACAACAAGGTTACACGTGTATAGCGTTTCATGTTAGAAGCGCGTCCCAAGGCGCTGGACAGAGTGCAGCATTTCAGACCCGAGCTGGGGTCAGAGGGGGAGAAAGGAGTGGATGGGAAGGGGGGTGGCTGATGACATGGTCGAAGAAGATGGTCTTGAGGCAGGACCTGAAGGAGTGGGAGAGATGGAGTGACTGAGGATGGAATTCCAAAGGTTGGGGGCAGAGTGGCTGAAGGCTCTTCCGCCAATGGTGGGGCGGGAGGGTCGGGGGACGTGGAGCAGGCCAGAGCCGGCTGAGCAGAGGGAACGGGCGGATTGATAGGGGTTTAGGAAGCCGCAGAGTTAGCGTGGTGCGAGGCTGAGGACTCTCTCTCTCCCTCTCTCTCTGCGCCTTGTCATCTCAGGCCATCAGATTGCTTTTCTAGGGGTAATAAACCCTTTCAAATTTTCAGCTGCTTAGACTTCAGCAGTACCTCAACTCTGGGTAACCAAAGCCTTGGCTTATTCTGAAACTCTGCCTAAAATGTCCTGGAATTAGATAAATAGGATGTAACCCTCCAGGCAGAGTGTACAGTGGAGAAATGTAAAGGGAAATAAGAGGGGCAAAGAGATTGCACGAGAAAAGATTAGCAGGAAACATAAAAGGGAATGCTAAGCTATTTTATAAGCACATCAAGAATAACAAAAATCATTTTTGCTGATAACTTCTTGTGCAAAACTTTATCAAATGCCTCTGGAAGTCCATATAAATGACATTCATAGACACTCTCTTATCCATCATGTTAGAACTCCATTCAATAGTCCCTTCACCTCACTTCCTCCCTTGTCTCTTTCAAGGCCCGTCTCAAGACCCTCCCCTTTCACCATGCCTGTGGTCACCCTCCTACCCA